GGAGATAATATCGCGTCATTTGGTTCGTTATTCTCTCGAAAATGTTGCGTTATAAAATGTAAATTTCTCATTTAACTCGTCAATCAAGACTGTTCGTTTCACAAAGTGACTTGACCAGCGTGTATTCTTTCGAATTTGCTTCCAACAGCGGTCTCGTAGTTTTTAAGAATACTTTTTTTGTTAAAGTTGATTATGAATATAACAATATCTAAATTTATGATAAAGAATTTTCGTGAACCTAAATACATTTTTATACTTTTGTTTATATTTTTTTCAGATTTTGCAAACACGATACTACTTTTTAAGTCTCAAATACAAGGGGCGGTAAACCGTCCCTGTGTGATAGGTAGGGAGAATTTACGTTTCAATGTTTTACATTTGTAATGAAATAATTTAATTTTCCGGTAGACAACTACACAAAACGTTTATAACAAATAGCATTTTCTATGTGTCGAGTGAAATATGAATGTTTCTCTCATCTCGTGGCGGGTGATAAGGAGATATCTCTTTCCTTGTCATAAAAAAACATTGTTGCGCGGTTATCCTGATCAAGAAAGGAAGACGTGGGGTATAGGGCATCTCTTGGACCACTGGGAATGTCAAATTTCAAAGTTTCGGAAAACGTTTAAATACTTTGGAAGAAAATTATCTTGTTCGAATGGCTGAAAACAAGCCATTTTGCTTTATTATGCTTGCACATTTTAGCCTAATAGTTAAAGCGTTCGCTCGTCACACCGAAGACCCGGGTTGAATTAACCACCTCGGCTCAATGTATGAAGCCCATTTCTGGTGTCCCCCGCCGTGACATTTGTGGCATATTGTGGCATATTGCTAAAATGTTCACTCACCCACATCATACCTTGTTCTTTCAGTAGAAGACGACATCACATTTCTACGTTCTGCATAGTGTTGTAAACGGTGTTAACAGTTAACATGTTGGAGCGCAAAAGAAGCAAGAAAACGATATGAATATTTACTTCCTGATTCCTAGATGTGTAGGTCATGCAAGCGCTGCTAGAGTTGAATACCCTTGTATTCTCCAAACTGGGTGAGTGGCAACTACGATGTTGGCGTTCCAATGTCGCTGACGCTGATCGGTGCGTGTGGTGGGGGTCGTGGACCGCCAGGAATCCGCTCGCTAATGTCAGCTTGTCAGCTCCTCCGAGAACTGCACGTTCTGCGATGAAACCGTTTCATAACTCGGCCTCTTGCACGGTTACATAACGCAATATAATCTCCAACCCTACCTACATTGCCTACCTCCCACCACGTCCTTCCACAGATGGGGTAACACTCAAGTCAGTCCACAGTTCTACATGTGTTTCAAGTAGAAACGGCTAGATGTCATCCTTCCCAACTTAGTTTTAGAATGGTTAATATTTGTAGCAACTCCACACGCTTAGATTCATTGAGTGAGTTGGGTTTATATAAATACGCCGCTTTGAACAGATTGTCAGCTGCAGCTTAGAGGGGGTAGGACAGAATTAAGTAGCCTTTCTCCAAGGCTCTGCTGAAAGTAATTCTTTCCTTATAATCGGCAAAGCTAAACAAACCGACAGTACGCCAGTCTTTTTAAGGGACTTGTTATTTTTTAGATAGTTTCGGAATTGTGATTGAAACTAATAATCGTTTTCTTAGAGACTTGTGCAAGTCTACGAACGAAGCTACGATGGTCGTTTACAATTTCATCATGGCAGGGGACGCAACGAGGTCTGGGAAAGATAAGCTATCATCTCTGAAATGAAAATATTTTACAGAAAAAGCGTTGTTACATTATCTTAATACAATATAATAAGAAAAGGAGTCCAGAGGCTCTTCATTTTAAGAGACTAGACAAATCTGCAGAATTTGTAATGCATGGAATTACACAACACGTGTAAATAATCCTATTACCCATCACTGACATGCTACTAAAAGTTTGTGAGACAGGAATATGTATTGTCCCCACCACCTCCCCTCAAACACACACCCTCTCCCCAGACACGCCCCTCCCAGTGGGAGCAGTGGGCAGTTCAGGGGGAAGTAAGTGTCAAATGTCCAGAAATCTAGTTTTATTTGGAGAGCAAGCTTAGGGGCAGCATTAGGTTTGTTCCTATGGATACCCAACTTGATGCCTCGAATACTCCTACAAAGACTTCAAAGTTACTTATTTTTTCTCCAAACCTAAAGGTTGTGTTCGTATGGTACATGTGGCGGTTTGATTGATGCTGCATCAAACATGAGAAACCTGTTTATTAAGTACTGAGACCAGAGACCATATGATGCTGAGACAGAGTCTTTGAAAGGCATTTAGAAGTGATACAGATAAGGAAGAGACTTTATGGATGTCAACTTCTTTATTATGAGGAACACAAGGTTTCGGAGTATATACTTAATCCTTCATCAGGTGTTGATGAAGGGTAAGTATATACTCCGAGTCGTTTCTTTTAATTGAAATAGTTTTGAAAGTGTCAGTACATCGAGAATATTCTACACATACTGTGTATACAAACTGTCTGGGTGAGTAACACGTGTAGACAATGCTTTAAACCGACTTGTGCACGTGAAACTGCAGTAATCTAGACTTGGGAAATATTATAGACTTGCACGGGCTGTATTGGATATATTTGTTTCAGGGTCTGTGTTGCAGACTACGAGAAGGTGAAGATGGTAGTAAGGGCACATCCTGATTAGTGAGTGAGTATGTTTTTACGCCGCTTTTAGCAATATTCCAGCAATATCACGGCGGGGGACACCAGAAATGGGCTTCACACATTGTACCCATGTCGGGAATCGAACCCGGGTCTTCGACGTGACGAGCGAACGCTTTGACCGCTAGGCTAGACGACCGCCCCTGATCACCGATTAAGGATTAAGTGCACTATGATCGGACCAGGTGACTGTCACGGCAGGTCTGAATCCGGCCATTGAAACACCGTTTCCTTGTCTGCTTCTTCCAGTTTATCCAGTCGACCGATGACTCTTCCATGTTACATACAGGCATTGGGTACACAGCACTCACTTCAATGTCTTGAGCTTGGCCGTTATGGGCTTGTCCTGCACCATGACAATGGAATATATTTGTTTTATGAAAAAAAAACAATCTAGAAGCGTATACAAAAGCAAGTCTAGCCAGCTCTAGCTAGCTCTATTCCACATATCAGCATAGGGATTTTTTTTAGAGTCAAGAAGGATAGTGTGTAATATAAGACTTTATAGACTAAATGTTAGTCTAGTTATGGGCCTAGTCTGATCTCCCTTAACCTGCACGGGGTGGCACATACCGTTGTTGTCAAGCAATAATTTATCGAAAATGTTTAGCTGTTATTGCTGCCTCTGCGCTGTACCGCTGTCAGTCAGTACTACACGTAAATAAGCACTTTGGGGGTTCTGGGTCGGAACTGGTCCCCACCATGCTATTGCTTGAGTATGTCCCTCCATGACTTGGGACATGTCAGTGTATCACAAAGAACCATATTTGGTATTCATATTCAACATATAAAAAACATAATGGTGTAAAAAACAACTTTATATATTGTTTTTTATTTCTATACATTTTCAGTGATTTAAATGAAACCCTTTTATGGCCTTGGAACTTTTCTGCAGGTTTTTGCTTATGGTTAACATTCTGCCTTTCCGGGGTGATTTCTGACATGTGCTTTTGGTATATATTTTAAGTAGTATTCGGGATTCAGAGGAGTGTATGTGTGGGGAGTGGGGGGGGGGAGGAGTGTGGGGGGCTCAATGGGTACTATTCCAGCAACATCACGCTCTGTACATCACACCTGGCCTTCGCACACTGGAGCATTTACTAACATGGTGTCCATACAGTCCTCATATGTGATGGGAATAATAATAATAATCATAATTATAATAATAATAATAATGTTGAGACACCTTAATTCTTAACTCATTTATTTCACGAAAAAACACCCACGTTGGTACGCATGATACAATTATATATAATTTGCAATATGTACAAAATGGCAGTACTTAACAAGAATAGTGAAAATAGAATAAGTAGATACTAGTTAATTTTACTATTTGCATTATACACGGGATTCGGGAATTGGGAGAAACCTTTAGATCTTTTTACATTGTTAGTAGTCAAAAGTTTCTCAAACGGGTTCGACATCCAGATATCAACAGATCTATCGCTCCAACAGCAATCGAATTACAAAGTTAACATTGGCGGTAGCACAGTAATCAATACTTGAATACTTGCGCAATATCCACGCAAACAGTACTTAAACTAAACAGCCCCAAGACGTCATACTGCAACAAAGCTGTCGCGTATTACGCAAACAAACTTCGACGACAAAAGTTCACTCCGTGCATCTGCGTCTGACTTCAGGACAGTTCATTGAATACATGAATGCTGTTCGCAAAATGGTGCGGCAGTAGACGCTACACTGATGTCGATGTTGACGTCACAGGCAGCCAAGACCACGATGACACGAACAGTGCCGGTAGCACTACGACGCGACGGAAATATACAGGAGATTGGAGACATCCTCTATACGCCCATCCTGTGCAAACAAAGAAATAATTACGATAGCTATCAAATTGAAAAACATGCTTTGCTGAAAAAAATGTTTTAAATATTAAAATACTTTCTGCCAAATATGATGTTAGTGGTTCTTTTCCAGCCACCCTGTTAATAATATTACTTTGCTTCACACTGGGCAACCCCTTTTGTCAAATATGTGTCAATGTGTAATTATGGGTGTTGGGTCAGGTAGGTATTGCATCATGGACACACACAGTACAAACTGTCGTGTTGGCTACCTGTATTTCTGCCGCGACCACGTGATACACTGCACGTACAACGCTCTTACACTCCCCAGGGGAGGGGAAAGGCACAGTCTAGGTAACACAGTCTTGTTTGTCGCCTTATTTTTTCTGTACGCAATAGTGTAAAGCTTAAAAGGGAGGTAACTGGTGAAGAGGTTGAATGCTGTCTACTTGCCCCGCAACACGTTCAGAGTCTACGGGAATGCAGTTAGATGCTACGCCAGTTATCCCGTCAGCCAATCAGAAGTCCGGACCTGGATGGTGTGTTATATATACACCAGCACGTGGGAACGTCGGTGTACTCTGACAGACTACAGAAAGGACGGTAGATCCAATACGCATCAAGCTTTCCCAGTATGGTCAAGTTCGAGAAAGTCAGGTATGTTATAAACCCTGAATTTATATGTTCTTAAACAAAGTGTGTTATCTGTTTAAAACTGTGAATATATCTTAATGCTTGTAATTTAAATTTTTATATGAAACTGTGGATATTTCTGTAGGTCGGGTTAGCCGTGTGAACTGAAGACATCCATATTTCATTGAAATTATCGATCAATTATTGATTCATATTGGCCGAACTGATTTTCTGTAATGCACTTGCCAAACGTTTGTTTTTTTCACCCCCAAAACACGGTTGCAGTAGTTGGAAGTGGAAAACTTGATTTATTTCCATAATCGGATTCCAGTATGTTATTGTAAATATATTTCACAGACTTCTTTTTAATTTATTTCCCGGCTGTACTGTAATGTAGCAGGTTGCTGCAGCGGAACCTCCACGGAGTATGAGATAGTTGATCACCGATTGCTTAAAATTAAATAAAATTGACTTAAAAGTATTTGAATATTTATATATATATATCTGTATTCTTAAACTATTTTATAATTCTTACCTGTCTTTTTTACGTACCTCGACATGTTACGACATATTCACTGTCTGTATGCTGGTATTCGTATAACAGTATTTTAATTATTATTTCTCTGCAACGGAAACCTACACGGAGTATGAGATAGTTGATCACCGATTGCATAAAATGAAACAAAATTGTCATGAAATTATTTGAATGATGTAGTTGTTTGGTGTAAACCTTAGGTCACAATGAAAAAACATTATTACGAAGTCTTTGTGTGTATCTATCCCGAATCTGTTCAAATCTTATTTACAAGAGTGTATCGCTGTTAACATACATCTGGTTTAAGAAGCGGTAGCTTCGCTCACTGTTTAAACAATCAAGTGAAGGTATATCAAAACTACTCTCGTTTGGACGACAAAACTGACAACTGATCATTGACATGATTAGACATTAGTGTTTACATAGTATAACATACATGTATATCCTTACTTCAATTTCAAACCGTTTATTACGAATGTATTTTAATAGCAAATAATTATTTCATAAATAAAAAAAATCTTTTCTTAAATGGACTTAACAGTTTGATGAGGACAACGATTGTGATCATATGTTCATTTAGTTAAACAAACGACGAGTTGGAGTTGTTTTATCGCACAATAAAACACTATAGGAAGAATAAACCATGTGGGGCGCAGCTCCGAGTTGTGTATTCTCCTTGTAGTGTTTTATTTTTGTAGGATAAACAACGACAACGAGTCGCTTATTTTCTATAGGAGATATCAAAATTATATCTTTAAGGATATTAGTAACATATTTAAAATATTTACCCGTATTTAAATAATGATTCCATGAATACAATCCGACATCGGCAATGTCTGACAAGTCCATTTTAAGAACAGGGGGTTGGGGTAAGTTTGGTATTTCTCTAATATTCTCACTATCCTCACTATCTGTACCTTTTATCATACCGACTGTCACACCTCTCTCACTTTTGGGTGCGATTGTTCGGCCAATGCGTTTATCTCGTTGCCCAGCTACATCCATGGGGACCAACTTACTAGACAATTCCCTCCCAAAGATATGATCGTCCAATTTACGACGTCATTAAGTTTCGGGGACATGTTCGAATGTCCAGAAATGATGTCATGATCGAACAATGCCTTATCGAGAATAAACCATCTTCACTGTTCTTTGCGTAGCTATCTCATATACTTAGATATACCGTGCATCATAGTCTGTCATAAACACACAGAAAGAAAAGTATCCCAACCTTGCCCATTGAGACCGGAGTTATGGTTGAAAACGATTCGCTTGGATGATGTCTATTTTATACCAAAAGACAACTTAACCCTTTTTTTCTAGTCGTCTCTCATACAGACTCTGAAACAAAAAAATATCAAAAAGCATACCATGCAAGACTAGAATACGTTGGTAAATATAAATGTTTTTGGTATGAAGATATCCTCTGTGCTCATCTCTATTATACATCAAACGACAAAACATATCTTGAAATATTTTCATTTCTGCTTTTTGGTAAATCTAGTTTTTATTCAATATCTGTTGGTTAGAATTAGAACATATCAGAATTATCATTATTATTTTTTGTCGGCAGGATTACTCAGTTCCAGTACTTCTCCGTGAGTGTAATCGTCATCTTCATCAGTTTCCTCCTCTTTCCCGTGCGCCGCCGGATGGACACACAGACGGCAATCGTAGGAATGATGCATCTTGGGAGTTGGGCAGCGCAATATGGCGCACAGTTGTGGGTGACTCTTGTAGCAGGTGGGTCAACTTGTGTGTTAATACGGGTTAATGATACAGTGAAACTTCGTCAACTCGATATATCGTTGGTGATACCGCAGTTTAACATGAAGCATAACTTTACAGAACCCATATCGACACTATGAATTAATATCTTCTGCTTATCGGGAACATCGGATAACTGGAAGTGTTTTCGTGCTTCCTTAGATTTCGTGATAAGGAGATTTCCCTGTTCTCGTCTTGATTTGATTTACTATGTTTATGGAGTCCATTATATAATATACAGGGGGCCATGAATGGCCAGTCGTATAAGGCGCCGCAATTTGCTGTGCAGAGTTGCGTCCCTTGGGCACACCAGAAACATGTGATCGTGGGTTGAAATCCCGGCTCGCCCCGATTATGTTTTTAGGTTTGTCAGCACGATACCCGTGCTCGTTGGTTTCACCCAACTGGTAAACGTCTGAGACCTGCATCACTTCGGGCTTTACTCCCATATTAAGCTGACACGCCGTGATATAACTAGAATACTGTTAAAAGCGGTGTTAAACCCAACTCGCTCACTCACTCTTCAGAAAACGCTTAGTCAAACGTTGGCAACATGATTATAGAATGCTCCCTTTTCCATACTGCCGATGTAAATATCATAACATACTTTTACTAACTGACGTGGTGACTGAATAGTATGGATATCGCCATACCTAACTGATTTTACCTTTGATAGCAATGTCACTGCTTTTTCAAATCGTCAGATCGGTTCCTTTAAAACTTGTGAAACACCGAGAAGAGACCATTTAAACAAAAGAAAAAGAAAATTAAACTCTAGATCCGTGAAAAAAATAACGCCCGCCAGAGGACCCTCCGCCCTAAACCTTCGGCGTTTATTGAATGATTTGCTGCACGACGAAACGTCACAAACGTGAAACCTACAATCATGTTGTTTGGTCAGATTAACCTTAATCCCATTTGGATATGGACGAATGAAGCAATGGCGGTATTTGACATGTTTATGTAAATGAAATGTGAAGCTTGCCCCAATCATTGATGTATGCCCTTGTCACCAGGTCTGACGATGTTCTACAATCTCCCCCGGCACATGTTCGGCCGGGTTCAGACACGCCTCTTCCCTATGTTCTTCCTGTGGAGCCTCGTGACGTCATCCATCATGTTGGGCACGTTCGTGCTGCAGCATCCCCTGGACTCCATGCAGAGAAGTCACGTCATACAGGTAAGTGTCACTGAACAAAACAACTGCAATTGGTTACAAAGGATGAAGTGGGATAACGACCCTTTTTGGCGCACAAGATATGCGTGCTTTTAGAATGGAGAAAAATGTTTAGAAATTGTAATGAAAGTTATCCGATGTTGTCAGACATAGCTAAAAATATAGCTGAGGATAAATACCCAGCTTAGACACAGAATACCGATCCAAGCGGACCAGTCCTTGTATTATCAACTTAATCCCTAGCTCCAGACAGGGTAACAACAAGTACCATTTTGAAACGTCTTTTGGTATGAGGTGGCCGGGGATCGAAATACCGGATAGACGCTCTATCCACTAGACCACGGAAGTGATAAAAACAGTACAATAATATGGTAAAATGGTAAAAAGTTCATCTTGGATCACGGACTTTATTTATTTATATCTGCATTTGAATTTCGAAAATCGGCCATGTTCTGTAATTGAAGTGAGTGAGTATGGTTTTACGCGGCTTTTAGCAAAAGCGGGGGGGACACAGGCATTGGGCTTCACACATATTACCTATGGAGAGAACCGTGATCCGTGGCGAGCGGACACTCTAACCACTTGGCTACCCACCGCTCCAACTAACTGTATTCGATCATGCCAGAAGTCCATACCTTGCTAGTTTAAGAAAGAACATGCCGGATAATTTTCATACCAATATTACAAAGCTTCATGAATGGTCATTTATTGTGGGCCAAGAGAGCCCTTATCCTACCTCCTCCTGGTATGTCGGGGCTGTCGGGTAGCCTAGTGGTTAAAGCGTTCGCTCGTCACGCCGAAGACCCGGGTTCGATTCCCGACATGGGTACAATGTGTGAAGCCCATTTCTGGTGTCCCCCGCCGTGATATTGCTGGAATATTGCTAAAAGCGGCGTAAAACCATACTCACTCACTCACTCCTGGTATGTCACCCCAGCCATCAGTACAAATATATATTACACATTATATCGTTGACATTGGACCCGTGAAGATCCGGGGTACAATAGGCCTTCAGAAACCCATGCTTGCCGTTTAAGGCGACTGTGCTTGTCGTAAGAGGCGACTAACGGGATCGGTTGGTCAGGCTCGCTGACTTGGTTGATGCATGTCATCGATCCCATTTGCGTCAATCACGATGTCACTCACCGGATTGTCTGGTCCAGCCTTGATTATTTACAAACCGCCGTTATATAGCTAGAATATTGCTGAGTGCGGCGTGAAACAACAACGAACAAACAACAAACTATTGGGTGCTTCAATGAGCGTACCCTTTGTGTAGACTGGGTGTTAACAGTATTTTCCTTTGAGTGTATTACTATCGCACCTAGACTTTATGGACAAACTGGTTTCGACTTGGTAAAGTACAATCCGCATGATTTGGTGCGGAGTAAATTCACTCAAATAATATTGTGCTCGTGAATACGTTGATGAAAAATGGACATATATTTGAAATTTAACTGGGCGTTTTTCAAGTGTGAACTTAACACTTATACGGAATTATATGAACATATGCAGTAAATTACGTGTCCATCGTGTACCATGCGCATCTTAGAGAAACCTCCAGTTTTACAAGAAGGAACCAAGTCACCAAACCTTCACGTCTTCTCTTTGCAGATTTCAATGCTGATCGCAGGCTTCGTAGCAGCGGCTCTGAATTCCCTGATTTTGGCGCCACTCATTGTTCGCTCCATGTTGGTGACATTTGAAATGGAGGTGGAGGCAGGTGTCGGTGACGTCATAGGTTACGCCGATATGAAGGAAATGAAGAAGAATCCGGCGTACTTTACCGCCTACCGCACGTTCAGAAGGTGTCACGGAATGAGCGGCTTGTTGACCTTGGTTGGCCTTGCGTCCAACACCGTGCATCTGTACTACATTACGTCGCAGTGTCTGCCGCTATAACGTCGTCAAACCGTAGACGTCGCTGCTGGTGTGAGGACCTTTGTTGTGTTAGTGTTTTGAGAAAAGTGACTCACGACAAGGTTGTGATAGAATCTCTGACAGATATTTCTGTTCTTGTCACAGAGACTTTTCAATGTGACTGTGTGCCTGTGGATCTCAAGACGAAGCGTTACTTGGCGAACGGATCAACTATGATGATATGAATGGCAATGTAGCGAACACTTGTGATCATGTCTCTGTGATTTTTCGTAGTGGCTGTATTCCTCTCACTTAACTAGATCTGAACATGTTCTGCTCAGTAATATTCCATTTGAAAGTTATGCAACGTACCCCCACCCCCACTAACTACCTCACTCACTGTATAGAAACCAGGAACCTGTTAGGCATTAAACCATCGACGTATTGTACAGAATGTGCTATTTATCATGTTAATTTATATATGATGGAGAATGTATTATTTACTGCTGCATGTGTGCTTGCAACTGCATTTATCATTCGTGGTAGCACAAGGTGTCTTACAATAAATGTCTCATCATTTTTATGTCCTTGTATGTTTTTGTGTTTTCTGTCCTTGGTACATCTATATATCGTGGGTAATAACTGCCGTTTGTCATGGGGAATGTTCTCTGTAGTGCTTTCACGGTTCCTGCCTGGTGAATTATTTCGGCGTAGTGTTAGCTGTATATTAGTCTGAACCTGAAGGAACCCATGTACCATTCAGAACATCCTATACTACTCAAAACAAGTAGAAAGTCATAGCACAACAGATGATTAATAGCGATATGTAATCCTTAACTTCTTTTGAGTAATATATATTGATATTGATCAATATATGTTGATCGGTCTCTCATGCATCTGCGCCGTGATATTACCCATCTTATTAAAACCATACTCACTCACTCACTCACTCACTCACTCACTCACTCACTCACTCACTCACAAGTGTATGTTTACTTTATTATGGTAAATATATCATAATGGAGACATACAAGAGAAAACTTATCTCATCGTTTGCCAATCGGTTATTATCAACCGTTCTGTTCCCACTTCTATCTTGTGTAACAGTTCTGCTGAATTATCCATCAACTTCTATTTTGTCGTTGAGTTAAGATAAGATAAGATAAGATAAGATTTATTGCAGAAACGTTCCATTACGGGACAGATGCAATTGTAAAAGACAAGACATTATGATTCATATATACATATATACAGACATACATAATTTACATTCCTGTAGACACATACAAAAACAAAATAATCAATATTACATATTTGATGATATTTTTATACATAAAATGTCAACGGTTGATTATGAAGGGGTATTTATTGTTTGAAATTATAGATATGGAAACATGCAGTTGATAGTGACTGCTTCATTATTTGACAGGATGTAGTGAAATAATTTATCTTCATGACTGTGGACATTTACATTTACATTTTGTCTGGATAATTTTTCAAAGACTATATTTCTTTCTTGAGTGTGTTATGGATCTAGAAACTAAACTTTCTTACTGAATATATTCTACCGATTGTGCACTCAAAGTAATGAATTTAAACTTTGCTTATCTAGAATACTCCGTTTTCTTTATTGCCCGACAGCGCTTTCCACCATATGAGAGACGCGGACACCGTTATATACGTACTCTGCTCATTACTTGATGAACCGAAAAAATCACTCCTAAAATCCTAAAATCTGTTCAGAGTTAGACCTACGCGATTTGTATCGGGGACTGGAAGAAGACTGTTCCACGCGGGGCGAGGTTCTTGCTAACCCTGCCCTGAGACTTTGGTAAGTCCATGGATGTGTTGTAACCCTATCCTCTCAATAGGCATGTCAGGATATGTGGACAGTCTAAGGACTCCAGTCTCTTACAGGGACAACTTGTTCTTATTATTGACATGAAGTAGAAACTATTATTTAAACTAAATATTTATTGTCTAATAAACTTGTGAAAGTCTAGGTTTTCACAGAAAAAGGAAGCACGAATACATCCTCGAAGCAGCCGTCATTGGTCCACGAGGATGCAGCGTGGGTGGTCAGTGTTTTCACAATTAGTTCTGGCATATATATATCTGGTTTGTTTTGGCCCTGGCATATCAGGGTCAACGGAATGTGTCCGGGGCTTGCCCTCTGACAGAGATGTTTACATGCCTCGCTGATCTATAATTACCTCCCAGGTTTGTTATACGTATAGACCGTGTTGAGTGAGCGAGTATGTATGCCTTTAAACCTGCTTTAGCAATGTTCCGGTCATATCACGAGGGACCAATGCCCCTGTGACGAGCCAACGGTTTAACATCTGTAATACCCCACCTCACCTGTGACGAGCCAACGTTTTAAGATTTAGTTGTTATATTGTTATAACGTTGTATAGTCACAGGTGAGGTGGGGTAATATCAATGTTAAACCGTTGGCTCGTCACAGGGGTGGTGGAGAAATATAGTTGTTATAACGTTGTATAGTCACAGGTGAGGTTGGGTTATATTGATGTTAAACCGTTGGCTCGTCACAGGGGTGGTGGAGAAATATAGTTGTTATAACGTTGTATAGTCACAGGTGAGGTTGGGTTATATTGATGTTAAACCGTTGGCTCGTCACAGGGGTGGTGCAGAAATATAGTTGTTATAACGTTGTATAGTCACAGGTGAGGTGGGGTAATATCAATGTTTAACCGTTGGCTCGACACAGGGGTGGTGGAGAAATATAGTTGTTATAGCGTTGTATAGTCACAGGTGAGGTTGGGTTATATTGATGTTAAACCGTTGGCTCGTCACAGGGGTGGTGGAGAAATATAGTTGTTATAACGTTGTATAGTCACAGGTGAGGTTGGGTTATATTGATGTTAAACCGTTGGCTCGTCACAGGGGTGGTGGAGAAATATAGTTGTTATAACGTTGTATAGTCACAGGTGAGGTGGGGTAATATCAATGTTTAACCGTTGGCTCGACACAGGGGTGGTGGAGAAATATAGTTGTTATAACGTTGTATAGTCACAGGTGAGGTTGGGTTATATTGATGTTAAACCGTTGGCTCGTCACAGGGGTGGTGGAGAAATATAGTTGTTATAACGTTGTATAGTCACAGGTGAGGTTGGGTTATATTGATGTTAAACCGTTGGCTCGTCACAGGGGTGGTGGAGAAATATAGTTGTTATAACGTTGTATAGTCACAGGTGAGGTTGGGTTATATTGATGTTAAACCGTTGGCTCGTCACAGGGGTGGTGGAGAAATATAGTTGTTATAACGTTGTATAGTCACAGGTGAGGTTGGGTTATATTGATGTTAAACCGTTGGCTCGTCACAGGGGTGGTGGAGAAATATAGTTGTTATGACGTTGTATAGTCACAGGTGAGGTTGGGTTATATTGATGTTAAACCGTTGGCTCGACACAGGGGTGGTGGAGATATATAGTTGTTATAACGTTGTATAGTCACAGGTGAGGTTGGGTTATATTGATGTTAAACCGTTGGCTCGACACAGGGGTGGTGGAGAAATATAGTTGTTATAACGTTGTATAGTCACAGGTGAGGTGGGGTAATATCAATGTTTAACCGTTGGCTCGACACAGGGGTGGTGGAGAAATATAGTTGTTATAACGTTGTATAGTCACAGGTGAGGTGGGGTTATATTGATGTTAAACCGTTGGCTCGTCACAGGGATGGTGGAGAAATATAGTTGTTATAACGTTGTATAGTCACAGGTGAGGTTGGGTTATATTGATGTTAAACCGTTGGCTCGTCACAGGGGTGGTGGAGAAATATAGTTGTTATAACGTTGTATAGTCACAGGTGAGGTTGGGTTATATTGATGTTAAACCGTTGGCTCGGCACAGGGGTGGTGGAGAAATATAGTTGTTATAACGTTGTATAGTCACAGGTGAGGTTGGGTTATATTGATGTTAAACCGTTGGCTCGTCACAGGGGTGGTGGAGAAATATAGTTGTTATAACGTTGTATAGTCACAGGTGAGGTTGGGTTATATTGATGTTAAACCGTTGGCTCGACACAGGGGTGGTGGAGAAATATAGTTGTTATAACGTTGTATAGTCACAGGTGAGGTTGGGTTATATTGATGTTAAACCGTTGGCTCGACACAGGGGTGGTGGAGAAATATAGTTGTTATAACGTTGTATAGTCACAGGTGAGGTTGGGTTATATTGATGTTAAACCGTTGGCTCGACACAGGGGTGGTGGAGAAATATAGTTGTTATAACGTTGTATAGTCACAGGTGAGGTGGGGTAATATCAATGTTAAACCGTTGGCTCGACACAGGGGTGGTGGAGAAATATAGTTGTTATAACGTTGTATAGTCACAGGTGAGGTGGGGTAATATCAATGTTAAACCGTTGGCTCGACACAGGGGTGGTGGAGAAATATAGTTGTTATAACGTTGTATAGTCACAGGTGAGGTTGGGTTATATTGATGTTAAACCGTTGGCTCGACACAGGGGTGGTGGAGAAATATAGTTGTTATAACGTTGTATAGTCACAGGTGAGGTGGGGTAATATCAATGTTAAACCGTTGGCTCGACACAGGGGTGGTGGAGAAATATAGTTGTTATAACGTTGTATAGTCACAGGTGAGGTGGGGCAATATCAATGTTTAACCGTTGGCTCGACACAGGGATGGTGGAGAAATATAGTTGTTATAACGTTGTATAGTCACAGGTGAGGTGGGGTAATATCAATGTTAAACCGTTGGCTCGACACAGGGGTGGTGGAGAAATATAGTTGTTATAACGTTGTATAGTCACAGGTGAGGTGGGGTTATCTTGGTGTTAAACCGTTGGCTCGTCACGGGGGTGGTGGAGAAATATAGTTGTTATAACGTTGTATAGTCACAGGTGAGGTGGGGTAATATCAATGTTTAACCGTTGGCTCGTCACAGGAGTGGTGGGGAAATATAGTTGTTATAACGTTGCATAGTCAAAGGTGAGGTGGGGTTATATTGATGTTAAACCGTTGGCTCGACACCGGAGTGGTGGGGAAATATAGTTGGTATAACGTTGTATAACGTTTATTATATAGTTGTTTAAACCCAAACTACGTTATAACAACTATATTTCCCCACCACCCATGTGAAGAGCCCCACTGTCCCTATGAAAACCCAACAGTTTAACATCTATATTCTCCAAACATCTCTTTCACGAACAACCGTTTTAACATCTAAATTTCCCCACCTCCCCTATGACGAGTCAACAGTTTAACATCTACATGTATATAACCTCCCCTCTCAATGTGTGAAGCCCATTTCTGGTATCCCCCGCCGTGATATTGATGGTGTATTGCTAAAAGCGGCGTAAAACCATACTCACTCACTCACTCACCTCTATCTTCCCGAAACAAAAGGCGTTAACTGACTTTGAAAGTTCAGTTTCCACCCTTGCCGAACTAGGCCGGAATTTCTGAGCTCGATCGTAGCGCCACCAGTGGCTCTTACGAGTTATATCCCTTCTATGTTCCCTCCAACTGACCAATCAGATTCCACCTCTCGTATCATTTGCATTTGCTTCAGACAAAATGGCGGCGCCCTTCAAGACGATCTGATCGATAATCAAGATCTATGCTGTAATAAAACGGGTCTTATCTAGCGAAGTGCATCCGATCACTCGAGAAACTTGATTTAAAACATGAAAAGATTTGCAAAATATCTGTTGACACCCATTTGGCGGTAAACATGTTTTGCAAATCCTGGAGTCGACGGAACTCTGCACTTTGAAATCCATGTTGTTTACGAACCGGAGGTCTAGTTCGTCACGGGATTTTGATTGCATAGACTCGTTAGCCCAGCCAAAATGTAACTCTGGAACTCCAGCCTAGTTCGGCAAGGATGGAAACTGGACATTTATAGTCAATTAACGCCCTTGCCTCGGAAAGATGCCTCCTCTCTGACGTGCCAACAGTTTAACAGCTATATTTCCTCACCTCCCCTGTGACGAGGCAACAGTTAACAACTCTGCGCCACTATGTTTATTTTCTATTTTTTCTTTATCGTATTTGAATCGCATTTCGTTTGTATTCTTTTCGCGTAATTCGCATTTCGTTTCTACTGTAATCCCAGTTTGTCTCCCATCTGAGTAAACTCGTGTGAATTGGAGAGTCGGGTTTTTGATATATTGGCGTGGTGGCAGCGGTTAATCCACCCAAAATGCCTTCGACACACAGAAGGATTTAACCCCTAACTACCTCCAAGTAAGAATACACACAATAAGCCAGTTTACCTTCTGACAAGGCATTTTCACTGGCCGTGAAACGATCGACGAAACACTTTCAAGTAGGTCGTAACTTGAATCCGCTACCTGTGAAAAACACCGTTCCTGTTCAGTGAAAATCATTCAACTTGGTACCCAAACGTTTCTTTAGCATTGACTGTAATCATGGCTACTCCTCGCGCTCCCAAACAATGACAATTAACAAAAAAATGAGACAATCACATCTTTTGAAAACTTTCAAAATCTGGTATATATTCTTTCACTTGATGTCAATTTTGCTCCATTATTGACTGATGGTTTTTCGTGGGAGAAGAAAACAACTACCCATCCAAATAGGGGCCTACAAGACGATGGCGAAGCTATACCCGAAGCCAGACGCAAAACAGCAGCCCAGAAAAATGTACATCTTGATCTAATGTTGGGTCAAATATGCAACTTTTGCAACGTGATCAGCCGCAACACAATCATCAAGAATTCAACATCAGTGAGAGCCATTTGGCAGAAAATCCGCCAACATTATGGCTTTCAGTCAACCAGTGCTAATTTCCTTAACCTCACGTCTCCGCCAGGTCAGTGTGTGTCAACGTGATCCACTGAGTTCAATCAACCCAAGTGCTCCAATTTCAGCGTGCTTTTCAACATTGTGAGGTTAAGGAGCGTGTTGTGCTACATAGTAACTGTGAACGTTTTAGAAAGCACGCGACAGAACCTGTACATGGTCTCATCAGTATTCGTCAGGTCGACGGTACAATAATATCACTTCTCAGCTTCTCGGCTTGGATAGGTTTCGATATAGGTATGATTGATATACAGTGGACGGTATACCAGAGGGTCGAGATATAATATAAATATGTCATTTTGCCACGTGACCTACTAAAGGTTGACGATCGCAGGAAAACCCCACTTATCTTGAATCCCGAAATAGTCGAGAGCATTTATGATACTCACAAGATACTTCTCGAATCTCCTCTATCTATATAACACCCTTATCTCGAGAAATATGTGAACGTTTCCCGATTAACACCCCTTCTACCTGTATCTTCCTGTGGGATACACTGGCGACTTATCAAATGTGAGTATTATTCCGTATTGAGATAACCCGCGAGAGCGCGCGTGTGTGACGTCACGCTGGCAGGGACACGTGTGCTACCTGAGGTTACCCCGTGGTCATCATGGTCACCCCACGATGGGCCGGACAAGTGACCCAGTCGTTCAACTACATCTTACTATCGGAAAATCCCATATCATAGGCGCATCGTCTGAACCTCCCCTTTTGAAAACCAAATGTACTATATTGTACTATGTTGTAGGCAGTAAAATTATCTGAGGGGATTTTGATATTTTGAGCCCCTCCTTTTTAAAATTCTGAGTCTGCCCTTTCATGTTACGAGAACAGGTTCCAAAGCGTAACTTCTTGTATGATTTGGTTGGTTGGTTCGTTGTTTAACGCCGCACTCAGCAATATCCAGCTATAGGAGGCGATCTGTAAATAATCGAGTCTGAACCAGACAATCCAGTGATTGATATCATGAGCATCGATCCACGCAATTGGGATACGATGACATGCCTACTTGTATGAAAATAATAATGAAAATAATACATATTTTAATGAAGAACAAGAAAATTTGTGAAATAACTAATATTTCATGTAATTTTCATGTGATTTGTCTAAGCGAGATTCGTTGGACATTATAACATAATTCTCACAATTTGTGCGTTTTCGGGGAAAACCAAAGGTCATACAGGTCTTAGGCGTGTACCACTTTAACCGGAAACACTCGAGCATGGGCATGGAGCTGACAGACAACGGATCATAGGCCAGTTTAAGGCGCGTCTGAGATTCGAACCCACGGTAGCTGCATGTTGCCACACCCACCCCCACCTTCCAGACGATGCAGAGGTTATACAGAGCTGACATATTGCCGATGCGACATTAAATTGTAACAGTGTTGTGACATTAGACCATGGCGCTACAACAAACCGAACAGTCACATCCTCGGCTGGGGCTCGTCATTAGGGGATGAAACAAGGACTGGTAGGCTCTGAGTGAATTATTCATGTTTAAACAGCGGCATGATATCTCGCTGAGCTAGCACTTTAAAACCGCCATTAGTCCGGACTAGCACAGGCAGCCACACCCACACTCATCTCACCGCTTGACGAGAAAACCAGACTCGTTCTGATTATCATTCTACAAGGACCTACGTTAACTTCGGCATCCCTCTTACTTCGCGTGATGTAGCTGGAATATTGTTCAACTTGTTGAACTTGTTTTACTTTATCTTGATCAACTGAACAGCTTGTGGCAGCCTGAACAGGTTGAAGAGAGGTTTAAAGAGATGCTTATTAATATACAAGAAAACCAACAACTTCCGATAGCAACAAGGTGAATAGGTTTCTCAGTGCATGTACGGTACAGAAAAACTGAACTCGTGATAGGTCACACCCAGTTATCTCCCTTTATTACGACCTGCAAAGTCAACTGGTTGGCATTCACCCAGCTGAATTATGGGACAGACAAGATCCACAGTACTCCAGTATTGTCTTCCTGTTAGGAGTATATGGAACAGACTAGTATCCGGCGTAGAGTGTTGTTTCTACGGCATGCTTCTTGACTTCTTCTATGCACGACACAAGCCTGCCTGTGGTCCACAACGGTTTATTGGGGTAGAGTTGACGTGGTACAGGCCGCCCTGATATAGATATAATATATAGATATATATATATAGATACTATAATACTCCCTCCTCACAGCAACTGGACGTCATTTATGTCATGTCTGACCTACTGGAGATCTACGTGGGTGGTGAAGTCGGACTTTGTGGACATCACAAGAAAGCTTTTTTCACAAAGATAAAAAAAAAAATTTCCATTAACAAAATAATAAAAATAAGTAATACTTAATTCGAAACACTAGTCACAGTAGACCTGTGGGTGAATCAGTTTGAAGGTGAGTTCACTGATAAGGCTTCTGTATGCTACAGCCTAGCACTGGTCACTGGTCCGCCCTACAGCGTATTCAGTCTTGTTTGACGTCATACTGGGGATCAATTCCGATGTGACAGAACTGCTTCAGCAGCGGCTTCAACGTCTCCGGCATGAGCCTACAACAACACAGCAGCGAGCATCATGGACATGTTCAAACAGATGTGTAGACGTAATACAACTTGAACGTAACAGACAGATGACGACACACATATCAGTAGACAATATACACGTCACAGACAGATGACGACACACATATCAGTAGACAATATACACGTCACAGACAGATGACGACACACATATCAGAAGACAATATACACGTCACGGACAGATGACACACATATCTGTAGGCAATATACACGTCACAGACAGATGACGACACACAAGTCTGTAGACAATATGCTAGTCACAGACAGATGATACCACTCATATCAGTAGACAATATATACGTCACAGACAGATCAATTGACATTATACACGTCACGGACAGATGACAACACGCAAGTCAACAGACAATATACACGTAACAGACATATCAATAGACGATATACACGTAACAGACAGATGATACCACTCATATAAGTAGACTATTTACAAGTCACAGACAGATCAATAGACAATATACACGTCACAGACAGATGACACCGCTCACAGCAGTAGACAATTAAACGTCACAGACAGATCAATAGACGATATACACGTCACAGAAAGGTCAATAGACATTATACACGTCACGGACAGGTCAATAGACAATATACACGTAACAGACAGATGATACCACTCATATAAGTAGACTATTTACAAGTCACAGACAGATCAATAGACAATATACACGTCACAGACAGATGACACCGCTCACAGCATTAGACAATAAAACGTCACAGACAGATCAATAGACAATATACACGTCACAGACAGATGACACAACTCACAGCAGTTGACAATGAAACGTCACAGACAGATCAGAGGATAGATTAACAATTTGTCTATGAAAACATTTCTTTAAAATAGTAGTACTTTTCTTTCTTCAAAAGAACCCTTCCTCGTCTGCTGTGGAATCAAGGAAACTCCAAAGTCACTAGTCCGAACACAACATGACCGAATACACCCATCACAGACTATGCAACTATACTAAAGCCTCTTATGATATTCTAAGTGGGATTGTCTTTCAACACCGCGCATTGTATTGACGACTCCACTTGCGTTATGTCATTATAGTTCGGAGAACCCAGTTTTACAAGTAGATACGTCATTTGAATCTCCACCCAATATAGACATCAATATAATTGTTTCTTATCTACTTCTTATTAAACTTATTTATCCTCCATTCATAAGTTTTCCTATGTTCTCGGTGATTACATAGGCGAGAGTCGTCTTCATCCGAATTAATACTCACGCCCCCAGTCTGACCAGGAATCCGATTCTCCGGGGCACGTACACGACTTTCTGCCCGCGAAGCGCCCCGTCAATAGTCGCCAGGGCAGTTTCCTTCGGGGTCAGGAGAGGGTTGAACCTGGAGGGGAGTAATCAGTCAGCAGGGTTGGTCACGGAGAGGGGGCACGGATGGCTCAGTGATGCCTACATTCGGCTGTGCAGAGTTGCGCCCCTTAGACGCGCCAGGATCTATCGGCACGTTAAAACCTTTACATGTCAGAACCAATTCTCGTTCGTGGTTGTAAAGGTCTGAACTGCATCACGTTTGAGCTGTTCTCTCACTTTAAGCAATTATAGAATCATAGACAGTGTTAAACAAAAACACTTATGGCGACCTTCATTATGTTATTGGTCCAAATCTGACAAATCAGTTGTCACAGATTAGATGACAGCAAAAAAGAGGAGGGTTTTTCACATTAGAAGTTAGTTTGGATTTTTACAGATTGTATAAATGAGTTGGAGTTTTAATTCAATGCGAGGGGAACGAGTGGCCCAGTCCTCTAAGGTGCCGCGATTCGCTGTGCAGAGTTGCGTCTCTTGGGCACGCCAGAAACCTATCATTGTGGGTTGGAAGACCGGTTCGCCCCAATTATGTTTCTAGGTTTGTCAGCACCATACCCGTGCTCGTGGGTTTCACCGAAGTGGTAAACGTCTGAGACCCGCATCACTTCGGGCTTTCCTCCCACATTAAGCTGACACGCCGTGATATAACGGGAATACTGTTAAAAGCGGCGTTAAACCCAACTCACTCACTCGCTCAGCCAATTTAATTCAATCAACCAGTGTAGTTCAGAGTCAAAATATATTTTACGTTCGCTTCTATCATATGAAACACCGAATCAACTGTCATAACATTAAACTGTGAGACTACAAAAAAAAGTAGCTTCTATGTGGGCGAGCAACACAAAGCGCTGTAACACACTTTCAATATAGGTTTCCATGCAAGACCTAGTGGTCCTCATACACACTGGGAATAGGTGATGAACAATACTTCAGAAGATACAGATTGAAATCATTTACCACTTTGCTCAAACCAACTTGTACAGGTACGGTAGCAACTGACCAAGGATTATAATCAGGACGAAACTTAAGGATTCAGGATTCGAACTCACGACCAGTGGATCCTGGGTTACATTGACACAACTCTGCAAAGTCAATTGCGGCGCTTTGGTTTATCTGGGCAGTAGGGCGCCTTGGAAGAAAATATTTTATGTGTTTGGGTTGTTTGTTTTTTGTTTGTTGTTTAACGCCGCACTCGGCAATATTCCAGCTATATGACGGCGATCGGTAAATATTCTGGACGAGACAATACAGTGTTTGACATTATGAGCATCGACCAAGTCAGCGAGCCTGACCACCCGATCCCATTGGTCGCCTCTTACGAAAAGCATAGGCGCCTGGGTTCTTGAACAATTCTAACCCAGATCTACATGGGTTTATTGTATATGTATCTAGCAGGGATTACACGCACCTGTCCTTTGGGTATTTACAAAGTCCTGTGTCCACGAAGCCGGGACAGACCACGGTGGCTTGTACTCCCGGCTTCCCCAGTCTGTCAATCTCCTCCCCCAGGGCCTCGGTGAAGCCGAACACTGCAAACTTGGACGCGCTGGAATGAAGCGTCCAGAGCTTAGTGGACAAACAACATTTCATGGTTTTGTAAGAATTACTGAACAGTTCATGAATGTGATGGTTACACACAAATTGTCTTAACCTATTCTACCCGGACTAGAAGGAGCTGTTTCCAAATCAAGCCATGTGGAATCTTCTCTTTATAACCACATAAACTGAGACTTCTTTGGCGGATCCAGAGGGGATATAGCGGTGGTATGGGTATTTGGGAAATGGAATAGTGTGTGTGTGTGTGTGTGTGTGCGTGTGTGTGTGTGTGGGTGGGGGTACGCAAGATGGGGGGGGGGGGGGGGGAGAGTCAAGGAGGCGTCTACTTTTCTGCACACACAAATATTCAGAGCTTAAATTCTATTCGGACACAAAAAAAAGTATATTTACGATACGAACATCAAAACGATAGAACATGAGTTATGTGACATGAAAAGGGGTCCTTTTTGGCACACTGGATTCGTAAGCTTTAAGAAACCCGCAAAAGCCTTATAAATTTTAAAAGTCATGACGTGTACATTACAATCAATATTTGAATTTGTTCGTTTAAACACTTGTATGTTTTGGACTACATTTCCAGACACAGCTAGGGACAGCGTAAACAAACCTTGAGACTTAACTTAATCATTATTCTAATATTTAAACCAGAGCAAGTCGTTGACACAAGATGATGTCGGTAAAGACAGTACTATGTTATAGAAAAATCAGTTTTTTCAATCATTTTTGCTGTATTTGTGTATTTTATCATGTCTGCAGTCTGCAGTGTAAAAAAGGAAAAAGAATACTTTTCTTTTGAACATGTCCATCTTCCCGAAGCAAGGGAGTTAACTGACTATAAAAGTCCAGTTTCCACCAAGGGAGTTAACTGACTGCAAAAGTCCAGTTTCCACCCGTGCCGAGCTAGGCGTTAATTATGGTGTTATATTTTGGCTGGACTAACGAGTTTATGCATAGTCCAATCAAAATCGCGAAACGAAATTGACATTCGGTTCATAAACAACATGGCAACTTCCGTGCAGATTTCGGTCGATTGCACAATTTGCCGAGCACGTGTGCCGTCAAATGGGCCCCGAAAGATATTTTCCAAATCTTTTTATGTTTTTAACGTAGGTTCTTAAGTGATTTGATGCACTTCGCGAGGTAAGACCCATTTTATTACAATAAATGTCTTAATTATCGATCAGATCGTCTTGACCGGGTGCCGCCATTTTGTTTGAAGCAAACGCAAGTCATATGAGAGATGGAATCTGATTGGTCTGTAGGAGGGACATAGAAGGGCATAACTCGTAATCGCCACTGGCGGCGCTACGATCGAACCCAGAAATTCCAGCCTAGTTGGGCAAGGGTGAAAACTGGACTCTTAAAGTTAGTTAAAGCCCTAGCCATGGAAACTGGACTTTTAAAGTTAGTTAACTCCCTTGCCTCGGGAAGAGGGAACATGTCAGACAATGTTTCAATAGTTTTAAATCGGTTGGCCAAATAATGGCTGTTACCCCAACTCGTCTTTTCAAACGCTTCTTTATTATTTTAAGTTAGTCCTCTCACCTGTAGTCAACGAGGAAGGCTGTCCCCGTCTTGGCGGTGCCGGACGAGATGTTGACGATGATGCCGCTGTCAGCCTCCAGCATGGCGGGCAGGAACTCGCGAACTGTCTACCAACACAAACACTCTCATGTCAGCTCGGGAGAAACACAGCAGCATTGTACTTGCAAAATAAAAATACGCTGATACGGGGAATTGGTGAGGTGAGGTGAGGTGAGGTGAGGTGAGGTGAGGTGAGGTGAGGTGAGGTGGAGTAAAAGATGGCGTTCAAGATCAGTGCACTTCTATAGCGATGTGCATGTGTGTGTGTGTGTGTGTGTGTGCGTGTGTGTGTGCGCGTGCGTGTGTGCGTGTGTTTGTACTTGTCAGTGCTGATGCCGGTTTTATAGTGCTAGCCCAATGAGATACCATGCCGCAGTTTGACATGGATTCCCCACTGAGATACCTTCTGTAGTTTAACATGGATACCCCACTCAGACACAGTACACGATCCAGTCAGTCCTTGCTTTATTCCAAAAATGCCAAGCGCCAGGTAAGGTAACAACAAGTACTATCTTTGTAGGTGCAAGATTTCATAATAAACAGTATGAACTGTTGACATGAAATTGAATGAAATCAAATATGAATTATCACAATTGGTTTCAATTATTATTATTATCCTCGGAGTCAGTATACTGTGTCTGAGTGGGGTATTCATGTTAAACTGCGGCATGGTATCTCAGTGGGCTAGTACTATAAATCGGCATCAGTCCGGACCAGCACTAGCAGCCACACACACATATACACACGTGCATGCACGTCGCTATATAAGTTAAAAAGTGCAATAATCTAAGCCAGGAACCTTATATTGGTACATGTTTAATGCTTACCCAGAAATGAGCCAAGGTGTTCACTTCAAACGTGCGACGGATGTGCTTCTCCTGCATATCAAGTACCGGCCCACCATACAGGATGCCGGCGTTGTTGACTAAGATGTCCACGTTACCCACCTCTCTCCTCACACGGTCGGCGGTGTCGTGGACGTCATCGGTGGAGGTGACATCACAGACATATGAATAGACTGTGGCACCAACACGACGGACTTCATCTGCTGTGTCTTCATTGTTCTCCTTGAAGTAAAAACATCAGATGGTTCCCTGGGTGTCGTTGTACAAAACAACCCTAGCACTATGACTGTCGTAAGTCTATGTTAAGGTATGGTAGCTACGATCACCTTAGCGCTAAGATGGCACATGTTTAGCCAATGCTGTACTTGGTGTTTGCCGTGTCACTTAAAGAAGGCTAGTGCACGCATCTACCACATCGTCCACCCGGTGTTTTATTGCGCACTCTTCTTTATTGTTTCTATACATTATTTACATAGATATTATTTCCGTTATAAACCAAAGTGTGTATTTTAGCACCCAATAGGTAAACAATAATCGTGTGTAGTTCACATTTTTTTTTTTAAATAAAGCGACAAAACCCTTTCTAATCCAATAGAAAGATTCCGACAATATCATGAGAATATGTTTATGTATTACTATCAATAGTAGTGAGTGATTGAGTATAGTTTTACGCCGCTTTTAGCTATATTCCAGCAATATCACGGCGGGGGACACCAGAAATGGGCTTCACACATTGTACCCATGTCGGGAATCGAACCCGGGTCTTCGGCGTGACGAGCGACCGCTTTAACCACTAGGGTACCCGACCGCCCCTATGTTTTGGAACTCGCATCAATAGGTAGGTATGCTACAAAATCTCTTCGCTCCGCTAAGGTTATCTAGTTATTCCTTTGCATATTGTACGTCATGTAGTAAACGCTATCTCAGTGTCACAGCCGTGATCTTACCTTGTTTATATCCCAGAGTATAAGCGACGCTCCGAGCCGGGCAAACTCCAATGACAGTTCCCGGCCTATTCCGTGGCCTGCGCCGGTGATCAGAACTTTCTTTCCGCGGACATCCTGTCTGGGATGCGGGACAGCCACGCGATACAGAGAATCCAGGTAGCAGATGATTACTTTCAGCAAAAGAGACAAAACTTCAGCCACTGACACTTTCATTCTGCTGGCAATCGCTGTTTTGCAAGGTTCAACGGTAGAACGATGCGGGCAGATTTGTCTCTGAAGCCTATGCTGACTCAACTGATGAACGGGCGTATCTCCCTGTATTATCTCTCCGTGTTCATCAAGTTATGTCTGAAGTGTTCCAACTGAGTCTACAGTTATTGCATTTTTTCGAAATATCTGATTTGGTTGCACACGCATGGGTCAGACTATTACAATCTCATATGACTTGACGGGAAACGCTCCTTAAATATCAGGTCAGCAACATATAATTATAATTAAAACAATCAATATCATATGTCATTGGGGGTTCTTCTTAATTGAAACAACACAATATTATTTTAATTAAAGCAACATGCAATACAGGTTAAACAATATGCTTCGTGGGCTATGTGTGTCAGTTGGTGAGGTCAGGGGGGCGTGGCACAGCGAGACAGCGGATCAGAGAGAGCAGGGTATGCAAGTATGAAAAGGGAACGGGGTGTGAGCCACGTGGCGAGGGAGTAGGGTGTACACGTGGCGAGGGAGTAGGGTGTGAGACACGTGGCGAGGGAGTAGGGTGTATGACACGCGGCGAGGGAACAGGGTGTGAGACACGTGACATGGAAGTAGGGTGTACACGTGGCGAGGGAGTAGGGTGTGAGACACGTGGCGAGGGTGTAGGGTGTGAGACACGTGGCGAGGGAGTAGGGTGTGAGACACGTGGCGAGGGAGTAGGGTGTATGACACGCGGCGAGGGAGTAGGGTGTGAGACACGTGACATGGGAGTAGGGTGTACACGTGGCGAGGGAGTAGGGTGTATGACACGTTGCGAGGGAGTAGGGTGTGAGACATGTGACATGGGAGTAGGGTGTGAGACACGTTGCGAGGGAGTAGGATGTATGACACGTGACGTGGGAGTAGGGTGTGAGACACGTGGCGAGGGAGTAGGATGTATGACACGTGACGTGGGAGTAGGGTGTGAGACACGTGGCGAGGGATTAGGGTGTGAGACACGTGGCGAGGGAATAGGGTGTATGACACGTGGCGAGGGAGTAGGGTGTGAGACACGTGACGAGGGAGTAGGGTGTACACGTGGCGAGGGAATGGGATGTACACGTGGCGAGGGAGTAGGGTGTGAGACACGTGGCGAGGGAGTAGGGTGTACACGTGGCAGAAGAGTAGGGTGTACACGTTGGTTGGTTGTTTTGTTGTTTAACGCCGAACTCAGCAATATTCCAGCTATATGTCGGCGGTCTGTAAATAAGTCTGGACCAGACAATCCAGTGATTGACATCATGAGCATCGATCCACGCAATTGGGATACGATGACATGCATCAACCAAGTCAGCGAGCCTGACCACCCGATCCCGTTAGTCGCCTCTTACGACAAGCATAGTCGCCTATTACGGCAAGTATGGGTTGCCGTAGACCTATTCTACCCCGGCTCTTCACGGGTGTTCAGGTGGCGTGGGAGTAGGGTGTGAGACACGTGGCGAGGGAGTAGGATGTATGACACGTGGCGAGGGAGTAGGGAATGAGACACGTGGCGAGGGAGTTTGGTGTACGACACGTTGGTTGCGAGGGAGTAGGATGTATGACACGTGGCGAGGGAGTAGGATGTACGACACGTGGCGAGGGAGTAGGGTGTACGACACGTTGGTTGCGAGGGAGTAGGGTGTACGACACGTTGGTTGCGAGGGAGTAGGGTGTACGACACGTTGGTTGCGAGGGAGTAGGGTGTACGACACGTTGGTTGCGAAGGAGTAGGGTGTGACGCACATGGAAGGATAGAGATGGAGAACACTAACGTATGGTGGTTTATTTATCACATCATGGAACCAAGGTTAAGATCCCATGCACTTTCTGTTACGGCGATGATACGTGCGCGTGTACTCGACACTGAAAAGTCGGAACAAGACGACACGCTGTACACTGTCCATATCAGCCATTTAATCACACACTCCACGTCTCAAGGGTATGTGTCATATATGAGCACAATCTGAAGTGAGCTCACCAGCCAGTAACTGCTACATTGCGCCCTGTCAGCAATATTACGTATCTATCACGGTGGCCAGTAAACGAGTTTGCGATAGGGAAAACGAATACGCATGATGTCACAATAATCTGGGTCTCACATTGCAACCACTCGATCCCCATTTCAGTTTCCGTGCGACAAGCATGGAGAACTCAGGACATACCCTGCCCCAAAATGAGTGAGGGTGTAAGTTGGGTTTACGCCGCTTTGAAGAGTATTCCAGTTGTATCACAGCGTGTCAGCTTAATGTGGGAGGAAAGCACGAAGTGATGCAGCCCTCAGACGTTTACCCCTTTGGTGTCATCTGATCTGTGACAACTGATTTGTCAGGTTTGGACCAATAACATAATGAAGGTCGCCATAAGTGTAATCCTGTGTCAGCTTGATAAGAGAGAACAGCTCAAACGAGACGCCATTCAGGCCTCTAACCTAGAAACATAATCGGGGCGAACCGGGATTCGAGCCCAAAAGCATAGGTTTCTGGCAAATTGCCTCTGCACTCTAGCCCATTGCCCCGAAATTCGTGAGCTAACTGTAACCAGAGACCATGGGTTTTGGGTCTCTATTGCAGCATACAGATAAGGCAGAACTGTCATGGGTATTATCAACTGACAGCTTAGCAGTTGGTCCATGCTACTATTTTTACTATACCTGTTTATCACAATAAATAAGATCACGGGACTCCGTGTGTGTGTGCGCGCGCGTGCGCGTGCGTGTGCGTATGGTCAACCCTACTCAGTCCACCATGACTTTTAACCATATACAACTTCCAGCTATATAAAGGCGGAGTCTACACCAAACAATCCAGAGATTGATATTGTGAGCAACGATTCACATCGTCAGGGTACGATGACACGTTATCAACCAAATCACCGAGCATGACCTCCGATCCATTTGGTCGCCTCTCGGGACCAGCATAGGTTGCTACAGACCTTATTCCATCCCCGAATCCCCACTGGGACTCCCGTTCGTCATATGTATTGTTGACTATTGATGTTACACAGAAATAGATGTTGCTGCGGCCTGTTGTGTTATATCGTTGTCCTACCTGTTAAAATCAGATTTTATCTCCGGTGTATCTCACTCTGTGTGAAGATCTGAGAATAACTCCGCGTCAGGTGAAACTTGACTGGTCCAATCCCGATGTCATCTTTCTATGATGATTCGGCATTATTACCACCACGATACGGCAATTTCTATCTTAGCACAAGAAAAGCGCCACAGAGCACAAAAATACTTTAGATAGTACACCCTTTTGGATGTAGAAACCATAGCGCTCAGACACGACAGAATGCATAAACTATCCACAATAAAATAGCGCTGAATCATTTTTGCATTCGGAACTCACCAATTATATTCGTTTTCGAGACAGAGATATCAGATATGCTTGCCTGAATGCTTCCCTAAATGGCACAAGAATTTAGAGAGCGAGCGAGCGAGTATGGTTTCACATTGCATTTTTTAGCACTATTCCAGCAATATCACAGCGGGGGACAACACAAATAAGCTTCACACATTGTACCCATGTGGGGAATCGTACCTGGGCCTTCCGCGTGACGAGCGAAAGCTTTAACCACTGGGCTACCCCACGCCCCACAACCCTGGAATCTGCACAGGGATAGGGTATAGGATTTGGGACCTATTTTACCCCGGAATCTGCACAGGGACGGGGTATAGGATATGGGACCTATTTTACCCTAAAATCTGCACAGGGACGGGGTATAGGATTAGAGACCTGTTCTACCCCGGAATCTGCACAGGGACGGGGTACAGGATTTGAGACCTGTTCTACCCCGGAATCTGCACAGGGACGGGGTACAGGATTTGAGACCTGTTCTCCCCCGGAATCTGCACAGGGACAGTGTATAGGATTTGAGACCTGTTCTACCCCGGAATCTGCACAGGGACGGGGTATAGGATTTGAGACCTGTTCTACCCCGGAATCTGCACAGGGATGGGGTACAGGATTTGAGACCTGTTCTCCCCCGGAATCTGCACAGGGACAGTGTATAGGATTTGGGACCTAGTGTACCCCAGAATCTGCACAGGGACGGTGTATAGGATTTGGGACCAACTCTACCCCAGAATCTGCACAGGGACGGGGTATATGATTTGGGACCTATTAATCTCTGGAATCTGCACAGGGACAGGAGTATAGGATTTGGGACCAACTCTACCCCAGAATCTGCACAGGGACAGGGTATATGATTTGGGACCTATTAATCTCTGGAATCTGCACAGGGACAGGGGTATAGGATTTGGGACCAACTCTACCCCAGAATCTGCACAGGGACAGGGTATATGATTTGGGACCTATTAATCTCTGGAATCTGCACAGGGACAGGGGTATAGGATTTGGGACCAACTCTACCCCAGAATCTGCACAGGGACGGGGTATATGATTGGGACCTATTAATCTCTGGAATCTGCACAGGGACAGGGGTATAGGATTTGGGACCAACTCTACCCCAGAATCTGCACAGGGACGGGGTATATGATTTGGGACCTATTAATCTCTGGAATCTGCACAGGGACAGGGGTATAGGATTTGGGACCAACTCTAACCCAGAATCTGCACAGGGACGGGGTATATGATTTGGGACCTATAAATCTCTGGAATCTGCACAGGGACGGGGTATAGGATTTGGGACCAATTCAACCCTGGAATCTGCACAGGGACGGGGTATAGGATTTGGGACCTATTTTACCCCAGAATCTGCACAGGGACAGGGTATAGGATTGGGGACCTATTCTACCCCTGCACAGGTAATCAGGCACTGGGTGGTCGGCACCTATTCTGACCTGGAATTCCCCTGAGTGTAAAGTGTAAGCTGTTGGAGGTTCTGGCAGTGAAATAGCAGCAGAAGCTATGTTTTTAAAGGCACTTTATTTTCATGTCGTCATTGTAAAACATCAGATATACTTGTAAACTTATAAAAAACATATTGGTATCAAAATCAATACACAATTTACAGCAAGCTCTTTGGAACAAGTAGAAACAGTATATGTACACAAACAAACAACATAAGCCTGTTGTATCAGCCACTCTTGGAGTTGTACTGAGGGTCGATGCCAAGCCGCTGGAACTTCTTCAGATGAGTGATGACTTTCTCAGGAAGCAGACTGGTGAAACAGAAACATGGGAGATCAATAACATTGTGAAACACAATGGTATTAGATTCCTTATTATAATTTATCATTTTAAAATAATTGACTTTTAAAACTTTTTTTTTTTAATTGCAAAATAATTTTATTTTATAAAAGTAAAGAAATAGTTTTCAGGCTCAATTTAACTACATGTATATAAACATGCACCACTGCAACCTGTTACTGAAAATTGCAACCTAATACTTACGTCTACATGCACAAAGTGCATGTCAAAATCTTTTAAATTTGTGTCCAACCCTTACATACCCCACAACATTGATCTTTGAACACATTCAATACCTTTAAGCTTTATATACCATACAACTTCAATATTCCCCTTGCTATGTGTAATTTGTCATCTTTTGGGGGCTTGATGTCATCAAACTGTGGGTACTTCAAGATTATGTGCACGTTTCATCTTTGATAAATTTATGGAACCAGCTAGGTGCAACCTGGTTTTGTCTGGTGCAACTTTTTATATGTCAACATGCACCTGGTGCAAGATAAATCATGTTCCTTAAAACGAGCTCTGGTTTTTCAAGCATGTCAGCATAGACGGATTGTAGGTCTAAAAGTAGTTTTCGCGAGATGGCCTGTTTATCAGATCATCATCAGATTTGGGACCTATTCTACCCCTGAATCTGCACAAGGACAGGGTATAGGATTTGGGACCTACTCTCATCATTTTCAGTTTATTGGATTGGCTTATTGCATTGACAGCACAATCATCATGTGGTAACAATAATTACGGGTGTATCAGCTGTATTGTTTTCCACTGTTTTTCATATGTTGTACCCATGTGGGGAATCAAACCCAGGGTTTGGGGGGACGAGTGACTTTAACCGACTACTGAAATGACTAACAAGAAGTCCACATCAGCCAATTAGAAAGCAGCTTTCTCGAGCTTTACGGCACTCGTTTCAACCTGGTGACTTTCAGACTACGCTTGAAAAATATGTTGTCACAGTTCTCGATTAAAATTTTGAAAACTGAACAAACGAACATTCCAGAATGTCTAATATATGGTTGAGATTGTATGGGAGTGAATCCCACGTACTGTGCAACGCCTCCACCGTTCAAATGTTTTATTCCACGGAAGCGAGAGATAGACGATAATTTTGACAAATCAGTCGTACGGGCTGTAACTGTCGTTCGGAATACACTGTGCTAACGTTTTCAAGGTTGCATGATTAGAAAACACATTCCAACTGTCATTTTCATGATCTGGTAACCGACGCTTTGATTCGTCAGATGAAAGGTCGTTCTGATGTGACCCGTAATGGGATGTCCTCAGATCTTTGTTTAGCGATAGCGAGAACTAAGATCTGATTTTGATGAGATTGTGTGTTTTATCAGCAATATCACAGCCAATAATCAACAGTAACACAACAGAGTATACAGTGTACATACGCCCCTATCCTCAGCTGCAGCCAAAGTCGTCTCGGCACGTACACCTCCTGCTCCCCTCGCAACATCCCATCAATGGCCGTCACAGCCGTCTCCTTCGGGGTCAAGATTGGGTCGAACCTGAGCCATGGGAAAACAGTCAAACATACCAAAGTTGAAAAACATATTCAACGAGAACATGTGATCTACAAACAGCAATATAGGTTATCATTTTCAGGACATTCAATGAAATGACCTTAGTGCTATTACTGTTTTATGACCATGTCAACGTGTAGTTCTGATTTTCTAATAATAGCATGTTAACATAGTATTCACTGCTTTGCATTCATTGCAATAATTTGATACTAAGCCATACAGCCTCTTCCTCCATATCATGTTTATTGACCTCTACTTAAGAAATAAGACCCGTGAAGATCCGGGGTAGAATAGGTCTAAAGCAACCCATGCTTGCCATAAAAGGCGACTATGCTTGTCGTAAGAGGCGACTAACAGGCTCTCTGACTTGGTTGATGCATGTCATCGTATCCCAATTTCTTGGATCGATGCTCATGATATCAATCACTGGATTGTCTGGTCCAGACTCGATTATTTACAGATCGCTGTCATATAGCTGGAATATTGCTGAGTGTGGTGTTAAACAACAAACAAACTTAAGAAATAAACAATGAGTGGGGGTTGTTTATCGAACAATAAAACACTGCAAATGAGGGGCACAACATTTTGTACAGCCTTTGTAAGGATGTTAAAAAATTGTTCAAGCTTCAAAAACATTTACCCATATTGAAATAATGATGACTCCCTGATTATCTGCACATTTTCTCCCAATACTGATTGTCATAATTCTCCCAATTTTAGTGCGACAGTTCGGCCACTGTGTTCATCTGCATTGTCCTGCTACATTGGGAACAACCAACTCTAGACACTTCCCTCTCAAGAATATCACCATCAAGTTGCAAGTGCATGTTTGAATCTCCAGAACAAAGTTTTATTGTGAAATAAACCATGCTTCGTCCTTCATTGTTCTTTTGTGATTTATTACGTAGCCATCTTGTATATACAACATCAGTTATTACTGTATTACGATTTCAAGATGTGCCCTGGAAACGAGCACAACCGCTATTTTCATTTTCAGTCAACGTCCAGGTCAGTGCAATGGGAACTTGAAAATTTTATGTGCAAACATATTTTTTTTCTACAGCTTTGTAAGCTCTTAACACTCTTGACATTACTAATGCAGTGATAAATAACCTATAAGTGCTTGCTTCGATCAATGTATGTTACAATATATAGAGAGACTTTTTTCGTACTGTTGCTTCCATCACGTTGTCAATTTTATGGTAAAACTATTTTAGTCATACTACTCAAGCTAAGACCAGGTGCAAGCTTGTGACTGACATGAAAATACTGATCGCAGAATAAAAAAATAGATCGCTATTGCGACCAAATTGGTCATAAATTGAGGGCAGAAGCGGATTGAAAAGGCTTCTTTAGTTGCTAGTACCAGTGATGACTGATGTGATTGTCATGTAAGTTGCTATAATTTTTCTTTAAATTCAAAAAATAAATTCAATTCTTGGCCTTTGTGTTCTTATACTGGGTATCGAGCTCTGTATCGTAATATGACCAGATAAGTTTTGTTTTGTTTGTTTGTCGTTTTAACGCCGCACTCGGCAATATTCCAGCTATATGACGGCGGTCTGTAAATAATCGTGTCTGGACCAGACAATCCAGTGATTGACGTAATGAGCATCGTAGCATAACATGACACATGTATCAAGCTCTGTATCATATCATGACAAGCGTATTGAGATACATATCGTATCATGGTCAGAGTATCGAGATACGTATCATACAGTGACCAGCCTATGAAGATATGTATCATATCGCGACCTTCCACATCGTTGTACCCCAACATAGTCACAGAAAATTAGACAGCAGGAACAGAAAGACTTCTCCCAACCTGCTCTTGGGGTATTTACAAAGTCCTGTGTCCACGAAGAAAGGACAGACCACAGTGGCTTGGACCCCCGGCTTCCCCAGTCTGTCGATCTCCTCCCTCAGGGCCTCCGTGAAGCCGAACACTGCATACTTGGATGAGCTGGAAACATCATAGAAAGAAGAGAAAGTAGGAGAACCAGTTGGTGAGTGATTATTGCATGGCGCCCCATCAGCAATCTTACAGCTATGTGCAGTGAGAGTGAGCGGGTGACACTCGGGATCAACACAGTTTTAATCCTTTTCACAACTTATTTCTCTGCATGTCAGAACAATGTGGAAGGAAAGTCAACAATTACACCGGTCATTGGCACTTAACACCTTCGTGAACAAGGTGAACAACACAAATATCATTGACATTAAGGAAAACAAGCATGAAATACTCATATTCCCTGCCAATATGAAATTACGGTTGTGTGCAAGGCATTATTAGCCCCTAAGTTGTAAGTCAAAGTTGTTGCTACGGAATCTCGAAAAATAATATTGGAAAAAAAACAACTATCAAACCACTAAACCTATCTATGAGCCAAGTTTGGTGAAAAAATATTGTACGATTTCAAGATCTGCTCCAGAAACAAGCACAACCGCCATTTTCATTTTCAGTCAACGTCCAAGTCATTGCTATGGGAACTTGAAAATTTTATTTATTATAAATCCCAAACTATCAAAAGGCACCAGTATATCACTAGACCTATCTATGTGCCAAGTTTGGTGAAGAAATATTGTACCGTTTTCAAAATCTCTCATTGTTTTTTAGTTCAATCCAGGAAACGAAACATGATGGACGGATGAAAAGACGGATGGACACCACCCATTCCTATATCCCCCTTCCTATCCCAGGGGGGATAATAATGGACACAAATCTCAGAATCGCTGCTGACAATATCAACCACTGGATTGTCTACTACACTATATTTTTACGCATTGGGGTAGACCAACTTCATGTTAATTAAGGAAACAAAAAGATGCTGAAAAATAAAATAAAATAATCATGATCATGGATAATAGAAAATGTGTCACAACTGCTGAGAAACTTTAAAATCAAACAAATCTTAACCTGAACAAGCAGTATTAAACAATCTCACCTGTAATCAACCAGGAATGCTGTTCCAGATTTAGCTGATGCTGAAGCAATGTTCATGATGACTCCCTTGTTGGCCTCTAGCATGGGAGGCAGAAACTCACGAACAGTCTGCAACAAAATGTTCACAGTGTTAAGTTCTACACAGGGGAGACAACCCATACCAAGCACTACGCCATGGGAGGCAGAAACTCACGAACAGTCTGCAACAAAACTGTCACAGTGACAGATGCTCTACACAGGGGAGACAACTCATACCAAGCACTACTCTTCACATGGGAGGCAGAAACTCACAAACTCTCTGCAACAAAACGGTCACAGTGACAGATGCTCTACACAGGGGAGACAACCCATACCAAGCAATACCAGTCACATGGGAGGTAGAAACTCACAAACAGTCTGCAACAAAACTGTCACAGAGACAGATGCTCTACACAGGGGAGACAACTCATACCAAGCAATACCAGTCACATGGGAGGCAGAAACTCACGAACAGTCTGCAACAAAATGGTCACAGTGACAGATGCTCTACACAGGGGAGACAACTCATACCAAGCACCACTCCTCACATGGGAGGCAGAAACACACGAACAGTCTGCAACAAAACTGTCACAGTGACAGATGCTCTACACAGGGGAGACAACCCATACCAAGCAATACCAGTCACATTGGAGGCAGAAACTCACGAACAGTCTGCAACAAAACTGTCACAGTGACAGATGCTCTACACAGGGGAGACAACCCATACCAAGCAATACCAGTCACATTGGAGGCAGAAACACACGAACAGTCTGCAACAAAACTGTCACAGTGACAGATGCTCTACACAGGGGAGACAACCCATACCAAGCAATACCAGTCACATTGGAGGCAGAAACTCACGAACAATCTGCAACAAAACTGTCACAGTGACAGATGCTCTACACAGGGGGGACAACTCATACACAGCACTACTCCTCACATGGGAGGCAGAAACTCATGAACAGTCTGCAACAAAACAGTCACTGTGACAGATGCTCTCGGAGGGGAGACAACTCATACCAAGCACTACTCTTCACATGGGAGGCAGAAACTCACGAACAGTCTGCAACAAAACAGTCACAGTGACAGATGCTCTACACAGGGGGAATAAGAGGAAATTTCATCTTGCCCAAATGATACACAACAGCAAGTAGATTGCTCTGATGTATGAGAGAGACTCAAATTCATATGTGTACGAGAGAATGGTATGGGGAATCACCACAATTACATTATTAAGGTGAAGGTCAAAGACTGAAGGTATTTTCATTATTTTGGGAAAATAAATCTTGCATCAAGGATCCCTACTGCACCATTTCAAATGTTCACCTAGTCAATGCCTATATGAAGCAGTGCAAGGGTAAAGACAAACAGACAGTAAACAACAATTAAATTAATCCACATTTAATGACATGTCCCTTGCTGCTTGTGACAAAAGAGAATGTGAGACTCAAGTAAGAGAAAAGCTCTATCCTTGCTGATATTCAGTACACCAAAGAGTAAAAGATAAGCTCAAAATGGGGTGATATTTAGTATTCCTAAGAGATATTCAGTACATCTAAGTGATATGTTTCTGTGATCTCTATAGATCATCGGATGATACTGAGGCCATCTAAGACAGGAACCTTTTATTGGTACATGTTCAATGCTTACCCAGAAATGAGCCAAGGTGTTCACTTCAAACGTGCGACGGATGTGCTTCTCCTGCATGTCAAGTACCGGCCCACCATACAGGATGCCGGCGTTGTTGACCAAGATGTCCACGTTGCCCACCTCTCTCCTCACACGGTCGGCGGTGTTGTGGACGTCATCGGTGGAGGTGACATCACAGACATATGAATGGACTGTGACACCAACACGACGGACTTCATCTGCTGTGTCTTCATTGTTCTCCTATAAGATATAACATCAGGGATTTGTACCGTTCTTGATATCAAAAGGTAGATTTTATGAAGTGTGATGTTATAAGTAAAATAACTTCATATTAATGAGAGAGTTGCTTCTATTGATTTAACACAACTTGCCACTACAGGAGTCAGCCTGGAACAGAAGTTTCTCTCCAGACAGATATATAATATAAAATAGAATTGAACTTGAACTTCATTGTGTTGAACTTGTGGGGACCTGGTATAAGGTTTGGGTTTTCCGGGGTTCAAGACAACCGAGAAAATGAATTCTGTTAAAACAAAACATCACGTAATAAGAGATTATTACCAGGCCCACAGGCAACACTCGATTTCAAAGCATGCGTAAATGTCAGTATCCAGTGCTGGTAGGGAAGGTGGCGGGATCCCAGTCATTTCATCATTCTCACTGTCGTCTTCTGGACGTCGTTATAGCTCAAGTAATACATTCAGAAACATAATCTTAATCCACTTTAATTGTTGCTGCCTGTAAATTTTGTTGAATTAAAAAAGAAATACTCTGAATTTGCACTTTTTATCCCAGCCATAAGCTGATTGCATATTGCACCAAAAAATCTTTTTCCTAAACAAGGACCCACTATTAATAATTTTTCATCAATGTTTACAAGAAAAACAAGATCTTCTTGTAGCAACGTAAAGAAGCTTATATATCAGCTGATATATGTTTGCAAGGATTATTTAACTAGCAATCCAATATGAACAGGATGAACACAGAAGAAGTTGTTATCCATAAATTGTGTCTACTTTGACATCCGTCAACTTCGAAGTAATGCCTATATATATACAATATATATGTCTTTGGCCTATCAAACAATTCATGATAAACATTACTAAGACTCTCTGTGCCCAAACATCTGCCGGTCAAATGATGAACTATGGTATACATATTTTTGTCTCAAGCTCCTTACAGCCATAGTCTGTTCGTGGAGCTCTCAATACCGAGAGTTAACGAAGATGTCATGTGCTGAGAGGAGCATGATTATTGTTTGAGGGAAGAGAGTAGGGCTGGGATGAGTCCAAATTTACTACCCGGGTACCAACCCCACTATTACCAGACTCTACCCCAGTACCCGCTGTAGGTCTCAGGAGATGTCTCAGAATGTCCGATTGTGAACATTTTTAGCATAACCGTGGTAAAATGTATTTAGATACATGTATTAAATAATCTGGTCATTCATACACTGAAGTTGAATTAAGTTATATCTTTATTCAACCATATGAAAAATTAGAAGGAATTGTTGCATAGTTAAAAAGAAAAGTGAACTTTAGTGACCATAGAGTTCCAGATAATTTTTGTCATTAAACAACATATACCGTGACTAACCACAGGTCCGGGAAGTCCTGTGGGTACCCAGGTTCTACTCAGTACCCACCCGAGCCGGATACCCGAGTTACCCGTCCCAGCCCTAGAAGAGATGTTACTCCAATTCACTTGGCACAGGCTGGCACAAGAGTTGCCACAATGTGAGTGTGTATGGTTTTACGCCACTTTCAGCAATATTCCAGCAGGGGACACCAGAAATGGACTTCACACATTGTACCCATGCATGTGGGGAATCTAACCCGTGTCTTCGCTGTGACGAACAAACGCTAGGCTACCCCACCATATAGGCACATTGTACTTCAATTGGTAGTTTTACCAGCGCCCTCTTAATTTCACGTGACATTAACAATGTACAAATTCAAGACGTCATGAATTTGGAACATAATTGTGCTCGATTTGGATATTGTTTGAAAGCATCCTGGCCTTATGTAATTGCGTCAATCGCAGTGAGGTCAGTCAATTGTGTGTGCAAAAAAACCGTTATTCTATGCGTTCGATCGGGTCCCTACTGCGTGCAAAGCTGATCATTAGAACAGTGCAAATCAGATGAACAGCTGGTGACCTTGTTTATATCCCAGAGTATAAGCGACGCTCCGAGGCGGGCAAACTCCAGTGACAGTTCCCGGCCGATACCGTGTCCTGCGCCGGTGATCAGCACTTTCTTTCCGCGGACATCTTGTCTGGCAGGTGGCACGATCAGTCGATAAAAAGATTCAAAATAGAAATAGATAATTTTCATCAACAGTGAAATTATTTCTCCAACAGAAGCTTTCATGTTTGGGGTTCAAAGGCTACACTTTTGACTGGTACCACTGTTGAGTTGCGTATGCTGTAGACAAAACCGAGTCCAGCTCCGAACAGTGTCTTTTTTAAGGAAGGTTGATAGAAAGCGAAGGCCAGAATGCTGAAGTGGAGTTTTCAAGCGCAATGCGCATAAACTCCTTGACACTACTTCTTCGAAAAAATGTTGTAAGGAGTTTGTGTACATATATCCGCTTCCGTGTCCACAACACGTGTGGACGACATCTCTGTTACAAATAAGGGAAATAATATGGGTAAAGTAAAGAAAATGCGTCGATCACAGGGAGGAGACGGCGACCTAGCACAGCAGTACATGGAGGACACGAGCATGAAACAGAAAAGCAGAGCAAAAGTTCGACTGAGGAAAGAAGAAGACGAAGAGGTAATAGCGTCGAACCCAATTCATCGTGGTGGTTGTTCAGTTCAACAAGTTGTTGTGCAAGTCCCCCTTCTATATACATAATGTCGCTTGTACTCCTACCCCTGTCATTGTATTCTATATATTACCAGCCTCCAATTCCATCTTGGCAGTAGATATGGAAAGCACTTGAACCCGAAAACATTTGGAAATAGTTGTTTGATAGGATTAGTAAGTATACAGTTAACATGTTTTGACTTTTATCAATGTTTATCATAATAATCATGTTTATTTGCAGCAACCAAGTGATTGGTCAGGATAAATTAGCATGGTCAACTGTGAAAGGCCTGAAACACATGCCACTTGTACCTAGGCTAGCTGTTGGTGAACTGAGAACAACTTTCTTTGTTTGTTGTTTAACGCCGCACTCAGCAATATTCCAGCTATATGACGGCGGTCTGTAAATCATTGAGTCTGGAACAGACAATCCAGTGATTGACATCATGAGCATCGATCCAAGAAAGTGGGATAAGATTACATGCATCAACAAAGTCAGCGAGCCTGACCACCCGATCCCGTTGGTCGCCTTTTACGGCAAGCATGGGTTGCTGAAGACCTATTCTTCCCCAGATCTTCAAGAGAACAACTAGAATCAGACAGTCATCAAACCTTTGATCATGTTCATATGACTTACTGCATGAAGATAGACTTAATTTGCATCTAAAATGATTTTGTACTCGTGTCAAGCCATACCATAGTATACACGACTAGTATCCAGCTAGTTCACAGCTTAATTTGTTTTAGTCTTTTTATGGTCTAACTATGCATGATGTCAGTTTCCTCTGTCTCATATGTGTTCTTGTTTTAGGTGTTTTCTTCTGTTGCAGTTTGTTGATGAGAAACTATCCAAAAAGATTTTGGCACAAGCCCGAGCACAGCAAGAGGAACTTGAGGAGGAATTTGGACCTCAGAAGTAGGGAAATGTTTTTGTTTACATTCTGTAACCACGGTAACAAAGAGAAGATTCCTCCTGTGTATCACATGTTCAGGAGATTTGTGTACATTTTATTTTATAATTTATTTTTTTGTCTGTATCTTTTTAAATGGTTTGCACAGTTCAATGCTTTATAAAAAAGTGATGACAACTAGATCAAAAGTTTGTGAAGAGATTTTCATACCCATACATATTTTCTGTGTACTTTGACATAAAGTAGATTTGTGTACATGCTGGAAATGCCAAATACTTGGCTTGTTAGTAATAATTTATTACAGGCCACAAAGTTAAAAAAAATTCAAAGGAGCCACTTGGCTCCTAAATTATTTTTTCAAGGAGCCAAATAGAATTTCAAGGAGCCAAGACAAAATGTAAGGAGCCAAAAGTAATGACTTGTAATTTAACTGCATAACAAAACAAAAAAATCCATTAGTTTGAATAATCAGTTTTAAATCATGAACAACAACTGTTGACGTGTTGTTGAAGCTTTTGAGTTTTTCTGACAAACAAGCTTTAGAACATTGTGTCAGTAACATCATCTGACAGTTTACCGGTGCCAGTTGCAGGTTTTGGTTCATCGAACGTGTCGATAGACGACGAAACTTCCGTGTCAGCTTCGCCATTCAAAGCATTCCGTATTATCTTGAGTATACTGCGCATTTATTTCCAAAAAAACACAGCTGTGTAGAAGGGGGTGCGCATTATACACGAAATAATGAGTTTTGATGTTTTTCCCCCATGGAAAGACATTACCGTGAGAACGTAACACCGGAAATACCATGTCAACAAATCCATACTGAAGTACGCAAACAAATCATGTAATTACACTGTCTGACTATAAAAAGTGTTCTTTGTATATCTGGACTTATGTTAGTAACTTATTTCATTAATTTTATTCAAAATTACTTTTAATATTGTTTTAATTTATTTCGGCGAAATCGTGTGTGAAGCGATCGGAAGATCTAACAAACGGTTATTAAGAGAAACCACGGTCAGATTACCGCTATTGATGCCTTGAAACGAACTTTCGTTGACAGAGAATGGATACATTTGTCATAAATGCCATACTTTGACTCGTTAAAGGTCATATTTGTTTTTGTTGGACGATTCTATGTCAACACGTAATTCACGCGATCACGTGCACGGGAGCCTTGACGTTGACTGGTCAGACTGTGTGTTCCATGTAAAACCATGTAATACCCGGTAATATATAGCAATCAGCTGCTTCGCTTACGCTTAGGGTTATTATTATTTCAAATATGTTTGGTAAAAGCTGCATCTAAATTAACAAGATATTGGAATATATTATTCCTGATAAAAAGAAGAAGTTTCAGATACATTTTTTGCCGATCCTTGCATTAAAACCCTGTAAAGTTATATCATTGGGTGTGACTTGACTGAATCACCGGTAAATTCCAAGAAATTGTGTGTACAGCTGATTGCTGTGTCCGGCTTAGTTTACGAGAAGATACACATGGTAATCTTAATCCCTGGATATAAAACAATGCCTAGCAGAACAAAAAAATACAATTTAAACGGTAAATCAACATGTCTGGTGATTTTTTATCTATGTGTTTATCCCTTTCAACACCGTAGGCCGGTTTTCCGGCCAAGCCGTAGTCACGTCAAAATAGTATATATTTGTATGGACCTACCTATAATATCATTCATTTATTAAATCTATCACATTTCACAATGTCTGAAATACGTATTCCATATCAATTTATCATTTTTTTATCAATAAATAAAAAAATTATTCACTATTTCCCGCGATGTTATTGAAAAAATAATTCTCGGACACACATTTCAACAACGGGTCCACATCGAACATGTCAAAGAGCAAAATAAAGACGTTTTAAGCAAATCTTTGATATATTATACAAAGTAATAAATAAATTCAACAAAAATATATCTAAAAGTAATCAAACTTACATCTAAGTTATTATTTCCATCTTTTCGTGCGATCGCATGTAATGTAAGTCAAATGACATCTCAGCTTTCGTCGCCTTAAATTCTCGGCTCGGACACGATGTTTAATGCAAAAATATATGCATGAAAAATCTGTCACAGCTCGTAACCTAGCACGATAGATTCACGAAGTTCCATATTTTTAATATATATATATCGTGATTTCCTGCCTTTTAGTTCAGAATAACATGATTTAACAAAAATCTTTCGCCAACTTCTGAAATTTATCAAACACGAGCTTGGTATCACCGCTGAAATTTGATTGGCTGCCTGCCTTACAAGTAGTTAGAAATGGAGACAGTGATAGTAATTTCCAATATTACTTGCCTCCGGACAAGTTAAAGTAAGTGATTTTGTTGCCCAACCTCGTATTTCTACTTTCCCCGAGAGTCGGGAAATGGCAAATTTCCACCCCTGTTCCCCCCCCCCCCCCCCCCCCCCCCCCCCCCCCCCACACACACACAAAAAAAATAAAATAAATACTGAATCTGCTAGAGAGGGGTGCGCACTATACTAAAGAAAATACGGTATTCATCATTTGCCGATTGACAACGATTTGTTGTTGTTTTGACTTGCGCAAATATAGAAAAATACTTCGTGTTTTTGAACGGCGAAACGACCGCCTTAGCTGTCACCTGGGCGGATGTCGTACAGCGCATGCGTGGGTACTAAACTCTTAACATCGTTAGTGCATTACTTAATAACGGAAAGTGCTTCCTTCATTCCAGGTATGGAGCTTCATATCGAAAGCGAAAACAGAACACATGGCCAACAGTGATCTTGTCGATGTTATTATGTTCTGATATCGAATTTTTTCACCGAAGTTACGCACTTATATTAAAAACGATCTTTTTTAATATCTTATGACAAGAGATATTTAGTCGCCAAACTTAATTAAAGACAAGGAGCCAGTTGGCGACTGACATGAAAATACCAGTCGCAAAATACAAAACTAGATCGCCATGGCGACCAATTTAGTCGCAACTTTGTGGCCTGTATTAATATATATGTTAATTGTTATAAAGCTGTAAATATGTTATTCTGAGAATGTAAGTTAACTGTGGACAACTTGGATACCTATTGCTACAGTTTTTAATATATAGCACTTTGGAAAACACAGGATTTAATGCTTTCTTGATCACCATGATCACTGTTGATTGAGTTAATTTAGTGTTTTACAGGTTCTGGCATTGACCGACCGTGTTGACTACCGTAATATTGTAAATCACGAACATCTGTTTTTGAACTGGATATATTCATGTCATGGATAAACAGTGTTTTGCTTATTATGAAAAGATTTTTTGACAAGTTTACCAAAACAAAAATTGGCGGTGGTGTAGCCCAGTGGTTACAGCGTTTGCTCATCACATCGAAGACCCGGGTTTGATTCCCCACATGGGTACAATGTGTGAAGCCCATTTCTAGATTCCCCTGCTTTGATATTTTGCTTGAATATTGCTAAAAGTGGTGTAAAACTCACTTACTCACCAAGATGAAGACACTGGCAGTCGCAATTGATGACATACTGCTTGATCCACATTTGTAAACCAACGGTGACCAGACTTGACACACGGGGGCGGTCGGGTAGCCTAGTGGTTAAAGCCTTCGCTCGTCACGCCGAAGACCCGGGTTCGATTCCCGACATGGGTACAATGTGTGAAGCCCATTTCTGGTGTCCCCCGCCGTGATATTGCTGGAATATTGCTAA